TTCCAAGCAATGGTCCTCCCATGTTCATCGGACCTTTTGATCAGCCCCCGTGCAGGGAAACCAGGAGAAGTGCCCCATGGTCCCAACTGGAAAAGTGGCCCTAAATAGGCATGCATCAACTTTCCAATGGCTCACTTACCGAGTGACATGATTTGCCACACAAAGTGCCTCAACTCTTTGTTTACCTTCTTTCTTGAACATCCCGAGTGGACTTTTTTCACACAAAGTGCCTCAACTTTTGTTTGACACCAAAAAGACAATGAATGGCCCAAGCCTCACCCAAGCGACGACTCTCCATGAGCTCAGTGCGATGGCCGCCGCTTCGCGCGGCGTCGCGCTGAGTCGGTCCTGGAGGCTCCGCTCCCCGAGCTGCAGCTTCAGCTCCCAGAAAGGCGCCGGCAGCTTCGCCGCCACCTGGCGGAAGCGGACGCACCGGAAGCGGAGGCGTTCGGAGAGAAACGGAAGCAGCTGAAGAGAGAGGGAAAAGATCGGGTTGGGATGAGTGGAATAGGAGAAAGAGGAGAAAGGTGGTCTCAGGGAGATTTCGGTGGGTTTTGAGGGGTGCTGAAAGCTCTGAGGAAAGAAATGAGCTAGCTGACAATGAGCTAGCTGACAATGAGCTTGCTGACTGGAAAGCTCCCTCTCGCCTTAAACTCTTGAAAGAAATGCCCAAGCTGGTCTATGGGTCCAAAAAGAAGAAGTAGTATGTGCAGGCGGAATTTGGCCGTTTGGTAGACAAACATGCGCAGTTCTAGGTGTTCCGAATTGAGAGTCAGAGCCAAACTGGGCTGACACGATCCATCGGCCAACTAGCAATTGAGCGACCCAAACCCGTTGACTTTTTGCTCTACCGATATGGTTCTCAAGCTTCATGGCAGAACCTAATGAAACAAGGGCTGAAACCATGGTTTCCTCCTTTCGGCTCCCGTGTTTCTTGAGCGCGAAACGGTTCTCCGAGCCCTGGTCCCCTTAAAAAATGATGGTTTTAAACGAGGCTTTCATCGTCGATGACTCGACCAACAACGACAAGCACTCCCTTTTGTTTTCGAGGAAACAGACACGTTCTGTTTTGGTTACCCCCTTTGCTTTAATTCAATCGTACCCGACCCGGTGGTCCTATAAAACCCGCAAACAGGGGGGGCACCCTCAAAGACAGACCGACCTGTTGTGATTCATATAAGGGGCCACATCATTGCACTGCTCTTTCGTTCAATCGGAGTCCAACGATAAGCCCCAGTGGTCGGGCCACCACAGTTTGGCTTAACCGAAGGTTCTCACCAGAGCTTTCCAGAACTTTGCCTTTTATTCTCATCATGAGATACCTTGCAAACACCCTAAGCTTCCGAGTGAAATGTCGCTTCCGAGGGCATATCTTCGTTAAAATTGCTTACGTGGGCATGTCTTGGTTACTTCTGCTTCCGTGGCCACCGTGTTGTTCATTTTCGTGCTGGTGTTCAGTAGGGAATGAGGGAATGAACCCAGGGGTCCCCTGAAAGGAAACCACCAGTTGGATGGTTTAGAAGGGTCGTTCCATTTCTCATTCCCTGCCCATCGCGCCGGCAAGTCTTGGGTTTCTGTTGCCACTTCTGCACTTTATCACGCAAAACCTTTCCCCCGAGCTTCCGCCGGGCAAAGCCGCCGAATTTGTGTTTATCCCCTTTGACAAAACGACCAGGTAAAAAAAGAGAAACACCGCAGACTCCCGAGAATCCGAGGGGGGTTTGTGAATGATCCAGTTGGATGGTCGTTCCCTCATACCAGCGGCTCCAAAACAACCAAAGCGCAACTTCCGATTTTTATCCCGTGTCAGTGTTTTATGTTTTTGAGGGTTTCCTTTTTGGTGGGTTTGCAACAAAGAGCCAACATATTTCAGGGTGCGTGCTTTTGAGCCCTTCTTGGTGGGTTTTCCAAAAGGGCAAACCTGGTGTCCCCTTCGAGACCAACCCTGGGCTTCTGGCCCGACACCACAAACGACGGCCTTCTCCTTCACCAGGCTCGCTGTGCACGGCTTCTCCAGCTCCTCCTCCAGGATCACATCGCCGCCGAGGCCTGCGTGCAGCTTGCGTGCCATCGCGCGCAATTCGGCGTCGGCCCTTGCGACTCAGAAGTTGGTTGGAGTAGAAACCTACGAGTTGTAAGATGGCTGTTTTCGGACATGGAATGCTGTGGCTCCTCCATCGCATGTACTTACCCCGTGGCCCTAAGGCCACTTAAAAGAAGTGGTTTGGTCCGGAAATCGTTGGCTTCGGTTCCGCCTTTGGCCATCCCATTTTCTTCAGCGCCCCAGGCAAACTCAAACGAAGTCGAGGGTTGATGTACCAAAAGGGAGATGTTCAAGCCTTCTGGGGAAATATGAACTTCGGACTCAGGGGTAGTTCCCTAATAGTATGAAAGGATAGTGGGTCTGCTTTTTTTGGAGACTACCCTTTTGTGTGGTTGTAAAGAGAAATAAAGGAGGAACCCATCATTTTGGGGAGTTCCCAAAAAAGAAACACCCATATAATTTGGGCTGCCTTGACCAAGGGTACCGAGTTTTCGGGTGCCCGTTGCTAAGACCAAAAGGGCTACAACATCGAACGGGCGTCACCTTTTTTCTTTTTTCCCCAACAGCTGAAAGCTTTGGGGTCTCAGCCCAGATAGGCTCCAGGGTGGTCCTGGGCGGCCCTGAGGTAAGGTTCCACGATGGTTCCACGAGGGTTCCACGAGGTTCTGCGAGGTGGTGCGAGCACTACAAAGAGGACCGCATGCTGTTGGGGATATCACCTGAGCTTGTTCTTTTTTGGGGGGAGGGAAGAGGGGAAACGGACAGTTGTACCTCAGCACATAGAGGAAACTATTACGCAAAATCGGCGTGAAGCAACGAACTGGCAAACCATCCAACATCGATACCCCCCACCCCCCCACCCCCCGCGAAAGAACAAAGATGCTGCACAACTGGTAGGGGACTACGGGGAAAAAACAATAATAGAAGTGTCTGAAGCATTGATTCAGCCTCCCTCCAGGTGGCCTAGAGGTTAGTGTGATCCAATTTACCCCACCAACTGAGGGTGACCTGATAACTTAGGTGTAAAGATATATCACCTCAAAAGATGATTGTCCGTTCATATGCGCCAGGGTTGCTCCTTCAGGGGTCGGCTAGTTTTTAGTCGGAGGGCTGGTGAGGTCTGGGGTTTTCGAGTTGGTGTGCACCGAAGCACCATTCTGGTCCCCTCATTTTGAGACACATGTGTCAAACAAACCATCCATGTTCGCATGCGCTTCAAGCCATGCAGATCTGCGGAGGCCTTTCCCCCGTTTTAAACAAGGCAAAGCTGCCAGGCAACTATGATCACAGCCATTCCCCCCCAAATGGCGGTGTTACTTTTGGTTTTCCTTCAACACATGCTGAAATAGTTGTATGAATTGGAATATCAAAAGAGCGGCACCAGCACCCCCCCAAGATGATGGCGGTGTCGTCCTTCTGGCTAACACAAACCCAGTTGGGTACCACGTTCAAAGCCCGCCTAAGCAAGACTGGAATGATGATTCCCCTGCAAATACCAACAAACGTTATGGTTTTTCGAGGGCTTCAAAGTGATGCGACATGGATTTCGTCCCATCCACGAAGAATAAACTGGTTGGTTGATTCATTCTATCCCAAAGCCGGGAGAAGGACTGCCCGCTTGATGGCCTAGCACTCGAAGCGGCAGCTTGTCTCCTGAGAGTCTGTACACTAGCTGTGTACCTCAGAGTGCCTTAGATATGGGCGGCTCGTCTTTTCTAAGCTTGGACCAAATGGATTGGTCTCCCTTTCGTTTCCCTTTAAAGCAACAGAAAACAAGGGCAGCCCCAAAAAGGACAGGCGCATGCATGGACAACACTACCATGCGGACTGATTGTGGATTGATTCTAAGGGCAACCTAGAGCAGCTTTCGGGGCCGCCATTTTCCAAGGTTGAGAACAAGGGTCGTAGGCTCGTAGCTTTGAGAGCAAGCTGTTGCAACTCCAAAACTGGAGCGCCCGAAAGCCCCAGAGAGGCTTTGGCTTGTTTCCAACAGAAGTCGGGTTCGGGAGACTTCAGTCCTCTTTCCTCTTTCCATGATTCTTGGAATGAGAGCATGGCAAATAACACGTTCTTGGACCATACATAAATGCAAAGAAAATGCACATAATGTTCCATGGCAATAGACACCGTGAGCAAACTGCATTTGTGCTGATGGGTATTCCCCAGCACCATCAAGACCCCTTCTCTCCAAATTGCCGTGGACGGGTTTTGGGCGAGGCTCGCACCCGCCTTGATTTGATTTGGGCAGTTGGCTTCAGCGGTTGGGTGGTTGATGTCCACAAATAGGAAATGGAGCCCCTTGGACGGCCTGGGAAGAGCAACATCATCTTGCAGCCCGGTTTTCAAGGATTCAACTCCTTGGGAACACCCAACCTGGCCCACACAACCTACTGACTCTTTGAACTCCAATCCAAGATTTCATCTGGGCAAATTACAAAAAAGGCCCCAAATTGGACTGGACCCCCCCCACCCCGCCCCCGGTGAAGGATTCGCATGGGGTAAATCGCTGGTGCCCTCCCCACTGAGCTGACAAACAATATGCCCAGTTCATCTGAGCAAACTCCAGCCCTCCCAGCATACGGAGCTTTGTGCATTGGGCGCAAAAACCCACTCGCGGAGCGGCAACGGACCGCTTCCTTTCCGAAGAGCTTCTGAGGTGTGTCTCATGTTTTTCCGCGCCCCTTGCAGCTTTACAAGGTCCGCGCCTGTCTCAGCCTTCTCCGGCTCAGCCATGTCTCGAGCGGGAGCGCGCTCGGGCTTCTCCGCTTGAGCCGCAGAAATCGGCGAGGGAATCCTTCGCGCCCGAAAAACGAGCATGGCTTGGTGCACTTTTGGGGATAGGTTCTGGGACCTGGGCTGAACCAAATGAACATTGGACAGTTCCGCTTGAGACGCTCACCGAGTGGTTTTGAGTGGCTCACATGGGGCCACCTCTGGACCTCTCTCAGGCCGCGGCCCACTTGGCCGGAGAAGTGTACAGCCAAGCTGCCGCCTAAGTCCGAGCTACGGAACGGCGGGGAAGTTTGGAACTGATTTTGGTTGAGAAACACACCTTGATCCGGGCGAAGTGCGAGGTAATTGGTTTGCCGGGAACCCCATTCTCCAGACTGTGTCTAGGGGACCCGATTCTCAAACCAATGGCTTCCCTTGAACACCACCACCCACGGGCCCTATGGCGACTCGCCATAAATTCGGGACGCCCCCGAAAGGGTCGCGCCCGCCTGCGGGCCAAGCAGCAGCGTGCTCGCATTCCGCGGCAACCAGCCTGAACGACCCGCTAGGCACCCAAGATTAGCTAGGAACCCAAAACCCCAGGATGGAATGAAGAAACCATCTGGTTGCCAATTCATAGGAATACTGGAATAGGTACCAAGACATGGACCACAAGAAAGGCAACTTCGCCATTGACATGAGGAATGACATCTTAGTTTTGGAGCAGGGTCAACGATGAAGAAATCAGAAGTGGTGCCAAGGGCGGAAACTTCATAGGGTCGCGAAACATCCTTGCAGGTGCTCAGGGAATGAGAATTGGAATGACCCCTTCAAAACAATCCTTGTGGGTTTCCTTCAAGGGAATCCCTAGGTTCATTCCCAACACCCGGAACGGTCATTCCCTACCCGGAGCACCAGCAAGTTTTGTGAGGCTACAATTTGCCGAGCTCCCTGCAAAGCGGAACCTCCTTTCGGTTTGAAAGGACCAGGTTTTGGGGTGGCGCTTGATCGGGGATTAGCTTGCCATCCAATCAAAACCACCTTCCACGTGGAACCCTCAACGTGGGGCTGGCGTTTCTTGAGGACACTCCGGGGGTTGCCGTTGAGGATTACCCTCTTTCCAATGGATGTCGGTGGATGCCTCAAACCAATCCACCAATGCTGGACGCCATGTCGATCATCAAACGTCAATGCAATGAGAAACATAATCCAAGATTCATGAACATCCCGCCAATTTTTAGGTGAACCAAGAGACCTCCTTTTTCTGTGGGTTGGCAGCCAAGAAACTGCAGAATATCTCAGTGTCAAAGGAGAACCACGATTGGAGGAGACCAAAGAGACTGACACTGGTCAGGTACAAGGCAGCATCCCCAGCATTGCCAGCATCCTTAACATTCCCGAATCCAATCACATGTGGAAAGCATATGCAGGGCAATGGAACCCTAAACGAAAGACAAGAACAGCCTGACAGGCCGAAGCATCTAAGCTGCTGCCAAATCAGGATTCACAAGTGAAGGCCGGTCCAAACTTGTCCAAATGATGCCGTCGATGCTGGGGATGTTGCCACTGCCCTCATCCATTCCAACCAACCCAGCTGACCAGCTGACCAGCTGACCAGCTGACCAGCTGACCAGCTGACCAGCTGACCAACCAACCAACCAGCCCTCAGAGCAAAAAGACCTAGGACTGCAGCGAAAAGAAAGGGTTCCAAGGGCTGTTGCGGCGGTTTTGGTGGAAAGGGCAAGTAAGTGCAGATCCCGACACAGGAAACAGCAATTCGCTTAGATTCAACTTCAACTGGAATTCTTCGAGCCAGTCTGGGGATGAAAGCTGAATCCCTTCTTGGCTGTACAAAGTATCTGGATCCTGCCTGCCTGCAACATTGGGCACTGTCCGCATTGTTTGAACCAGGGGTTCATGAACCAGCGCAATCGAGCAGCAAAAGTTGCTAAACCAAAGTTGGAGAGATGCCGTCTCCGCAAAGGGCAACCAATATCGCCAATGTCTACAGCTTCAAAGGACCTTCATCGTCTGTTCGCGGACCTTTAAAAACCGTGATTCAACCGAAGCATCATTGTCTATTGGACTGTCCCAAAAGGTGGAACGCGCCATAGTTTCCTCCAGACTCCCTTAAAATTCACTGACAAAAGCGTTAACCTCATTGTTTAACTCTCTAACAACCCAAGGTTGAATCCCCCCATAGCGGACTGCGACAAACACAGTCCCATGGCAAACAATGGACTCCTCAGGACTGGTTCAACCCCCTATAGCAATTTCGGCCACTTGGGACCCAATTTGATGCACCTCCAAAACCAAAGCAAGGTCTCAAGCAAACTCGTCAGCTTCTCACGTGCTTTGGATTTGGGGGTTTCCCCCCCTCTACCCAAACCTTCGAGCCAAGTCCGAAGACTCCAAACGCTTCGCCTGCTGGGCCGCACTCCTCGGGCAGGAAGAAGCTGCCGGGCTCCTGGACGAAAATCCGGATCCGAAGTCCGGTGCGCCCCGGTGGTTTCGGAAGCGGAGAAGCGGAGAACCCAAAACGAAAGGAACCCACACGCAAAACCCAAGAACACACACACACATGTTGGTTCCAAGACTTGGGAAAACCTGATCGTCTCCGAAATGGGGACCAAGCTTCTGCTTGAGTTCCCTTCCACCAACAAAGGGGACATCTTGGAAAAGGACGGACCCATACTCACACACACACACACATATTTCAGGCTGTGACATCTGGGCGATGTTTCTCATGTTTCGCCTACCAGAAAGAGGACATGGACACTTATGAGAGAAACCCTGATCATGGGACTGCGCAAAGAGAAGTGAGCTTTTTTTTTGATTTGCCCCAAATGAAAAAAAAACACTCTCAGGTGATATCCCCAACAGCATGCGGTGCTCTTTGTAGTGCTCGCACCACCCCGCAGCCCTCGCAGAACCTCGTGGAACCGGGTGGAACCCTGGTGGAACCTTACCTCAGGGCCGCCCAGGACCACCCTGGAGCCTATCTGGGCTGAGACCCCAAAGCTTTCAGCTGTCGGAGAAAAACACAGACAACAACTATGTTGAAAAGATCACACTAGGTTGATTCTGAGGCTATCATGAGGTTAGAATGCAGCTAGCTCAGGAACAGGCTAATGATAAGATTACAACCGGCCATCCAGGTATCCTAAAGTGTCTCTTGAGTCCTAAATCCTGAACAAAAAGGCCTGTATGGCAGAAACCATACCGAGTGGCTCCGATTCATGCGTGACCCACTTAACCGTTTCAACCTGGGGCCACGGAAAATTGAGAGGGACACCCGGCCGGAAAAGCCTTCCGTGGCTTGATTTGGGGAACATGCTGAGTGTTTGGACGATCCGGGAGCTGCTTGCCAGAACCGCCACATGTCAAAGTTATCAACCGGGTCTGCCCAAATTAGTGTAAGGAATTGACAGCGCGGAAAAAGCTCTTGGGGCCAAACCTTCCTTTAATCGTGGCTGACCAAAGCGTGCTCCAAGCGGGCTGTGTATCCAGGTGCAGACTTGGATGGCAAGGGCGTCCTTTGCCTTCAAATCCCGAAACTGGGCATTTTGAAGGAAACACCCGGTCGGAGAAAAAATGGAACATCTTGTCAACCAAGGTGACATTTTGGGTTACACAAAGGCCATCCCACCCCTAAAAACAGTTCTCAAACCAAACTCCGTTTTGAAATCGCCAGCCATCGCTGCTTCACTCGACTCAAATAACTGGGGCCGTTCAATCATTAAACTGGGGGAGGGTGGTTTACATCCCAATTCCGTAGCGGACAAGGAATTATGTTGCAGCTCTCGTTCCGGTTTGAGGTAACACCAGGGTGTCTGGCCTACATGGGTTCTGGCTTCCTATAGAGTACCTAAACCTTTGGTCATACACTGCCTATCACGGAAGCGCCCTAATCAATTGGCCCCTGTAAATGGACCCAAGTCTTCCAACACTTGCACCAGCATCAGGGAATGAGACATGGAATGACCCTTATGAACCATCCCGAGGCTTCTTTGCAAACCAAAGCCTGGGGTCCAATTCAACTTCTTCCACGTCGCCTGGGTGTTCTCCAAAATTGGGCTTCCAGTGAAACCCATGGACACCCCTACGCATAAACTGGTTGGTTCAATTGATGTGGGCTCACCATGAGTTGCCCCCAAATGAGTCATAATCAAAACCTGGTATCAAAATGGGCCCAAAACCATGTAAAGCATTAAGAAGGCGGAATTCCGCAGCTATTTCTGCTTGGGATTGTCCCTTACTCAGCTTCATCTACCTGAATCGGTTTTGAGCACGTGGCTCACTTGTTCTTTTGCTTTGTTTGCGGGGGGTGGCGGGAGAAGAGCAACACGGTAAGATTTGAAGGTGGGTTGCAGCTCTGCTCCTGCGTCGCGTGTTTTCGTTTTGGGTTTGTTGGTTCGAGTTGGGTGCTTTTGGTGTGTTTGACATTCGCAAGAGAGGCTTGGGCACTGCGTAGCAGACAGGTGGATTTCGTTCAGACGTGTGTCTTGATGGTTTGGCATTGATTGCAAGGAGAATTTGCCTTTGAACGAATCAGCGTCCCCAACCCGAAGCCACCGAGATCCCCGCAGCCACCCCGCAGCCCCGAAGCCGCTCGCTCCGCGCGCACGAGCCGCTCCGCCGGCTCCGGCACCAGCAGCCTCGACGACTAGAAAAGCTCCGCAAAAACTCCCCACGGGGTCTGAGGGTAGAGATCTCGGAAACCAAAGGGAAAATCTGGGAAGGGTTGGCCTGAAAAGAACCACAAACACTTGGTTGCTGATCCCTCTGCAAAAAGGGAATAACTCTTCTTGTGGGTTTAGTGCGGAAAACCCAATTTGATTTCAAGCAAAATCCAACCCAATAGCAGTCAAGGGGTTTTGTGCCAGAGATCTCGGAAACCGTTCCCAAAAGTTTAAAGTCCGTGAACTCAGGGAGGGAGGTTTGCTGAACTGTTTGCGATCTGTTGTTGTGGCAAAACAGATAAGCCTAAAGCTGCTGTGCCATCCAACCAAACGCCAGCTATGTTGGTGCACAACACGAAAGGGAAAACCAAATGAATTTTGGGAAGGGTTTGCCATTTTTTCAAGGGGAAGCCCCTGTTGCAGAAATCGTGAAGCAAGTTTGTTTTGTCGGAAAAGGGGGAAATGACCCAAACAATTGAGGGATGGTTCTTGCATGTTTGACGAGCAATTCCCTTCTTGCAGTGCATTTTGGCAAGCACATCAGTTGCCCGGTTTCGGAGTCGGAGGTTGGCTGCAAACCAGAAGGTGTTGAAGCAAAGATCTGGATGATTGCTCTTCTTTTTTGGAGTCGGGCTGGGTTAAAAGGAAGGTCAAATGAGTCAGATTGGGACTGTGCTCTTTTTCTTGGAGTTGGAGTTGGTTGCGGGGAAAACCAAAGGGAAACCACCGCTTTGAGAATTATTCCCCCTAGTTTGAAGCACCCATTTTGCAACCACCACTCGAAACTGAGCCTTGCATCCATGGAAATATGGCTCGATTTGGATAGACCACGAGTTGGAACCTGGCCCAGGGTCTACTGCTTCTATACCCGACCATGCTTCCCAGCGAGTTTGGGTTTCCAAGGCTCAGGCTGCTTTTTCCGACTGGACCGTCTGGATTCCAGCCATTCTCAATGGATCCTCGAGATGGAAAACCCTTTGCACATTTGTGTTTGTCTCAAAACAGGGGAATCCCCCAATTTGGCCAGGTTCCTTTTGATTTACCTTTGCAACCATCCAAAGAAAGCTACCCGCCCAAACAATGGGATACGTCCAGCTCGCAGCTCGGGGATCGATTGCAAGACATGGCGGCGGTGCACGCATCTGCCGTGGAGGCACAACACCTGCCCAAAGATCGAAGGTGCATCAAGACCAACGTCTGTACAGGGCTCATACTCCTTGGTGGGGGCGTACATTCGGGCACCCCCAAAAGTCACCCCAAAAAAGCTGCACTCTGGTGCAACCCCCCCAATTTGGCAGACGAGGTCGAAACTCTGAGTCTTGACGGGAATCCGAAACGCTGGCTGTCGATTCCGAACCCCCGTGACCCGCAGTCACCTCAGGTCATTGACCATGGATGGTACCTTCTTTTGCAAGGAATAGACACACAAAACGGGAATCCATACAATAAACGCCGTTGTACGTATACTTGTGAACATCTTTTTTCCACACACAAATAATACATGTGTTGTGGAGGTCCCGTTGTGGAGGAAACCTCACATTTTGCAGTTCACTTGGAGACCCATCTCATGCTGCACGGTCCAAACCTCGCGGGCGTGCCGTGGGCGCCCCACTTGCGGGGACGCGGGGGGGCCTTCTTGACAAACCCAAGGACACTAACTGCCTTATAGAGTTGGCCCTACATCCAAGTATGTCTGATGTCTACGAGTCCTAGCTCCAACCAAGTGAAATTGCCCATTTTGGGAGTTGAACCCATTCATCTCCTGGAGCAAACGTTTCCAATCTGAATGTCAAAGAAAGGTTCCTTTGAGCTGGCCCGTGTGCTTGGTCAGCAAAAGGGGGTGCGAAGCCGAAAACTCCGCCAACATCGGTTTGCTTGCCAAAACTAATCCCCACAAAACGGTTTGTCGACCAGAGAGCATTTTTGATAGGGGACTTATTCTCAAACGCGTCTCCTTCTTCCCTAGGGAATCATTCCAGTTAGAAAAAACCGCGGAAGAACTCACTACCCCTCCCCAAAACAAACCAACACAAACCAAGACAAGACAATCTGATCTTGAGACAAACAGATCTTCACGATCCCGGCGCCGGAGAAAGGGAACCGCCCCCCATGCAACTCTCGATCGTCGCCTCGGGGTCCATATCGAGACATGGCCAAAGGCTCGTGTTGCAGGGTCCGGTAGATGTCAACCATGTGGCTGGTCAAACATAGGGTAACCCCAACAAGGGAACACTGGTAAAATAGAAAAACACAAAGTAAAAGCTGTGGTTTTTTTTGGTGGTATAATTTTGACTCATGCCCATGTCTATATTTGGTTAGATACGATTTCTACACCCTACCGATTAAGTGTAAATCCATTTGCAAATCAGGCAAGTGATGTCTGCATTGGTTATGATTCTTAATGCCATCATGGTGGGGATACATGTAACCAGCAGCCAGTTGGCTGAGCGGCCATGGACGTGGGTTGGGGGAGCGTCCCAATTTGCCCCCTTTGCTGTACGTATCCATGTGGCCATGATAGGTGGCCTTCTCGAAAAATAGATGGCCCTTGCACAGTGTGACCCATCTATTTCTCGCCTATGGCCATGATTGTAACCAATGTGCAAGACAGGGGTTACACTTGCACTGTACGTGATGAATCTTGACTGGTTAAACCATCAGCTCGTTTTTGTCGCAGCTTGTCACGCGAGTCAGCGAATCGCCACAAATCGATGTGGCCAACGGCGAATCCATGGACCAGCGGATGACTTGAGCCTTTGGGATCCGGAACTGCCACCAGAGGAACCCCCCAGTTGGGCTTTGTTCGTTCGGGACAAATCGGACGTCAAGAGGACTCGCCCCCCGAATCGCCGCCTAAAAATGGCGTGGGTGTTTTTTTCCCTATACCAAAAGGTGTTTCCGAGAAAGATGCAAACTGGCCAGCTTGTAGCTCTCAGTTCCACCCGGGGCGGCCGTGCATAAAAGCACTGCGCATCCCATTTGTCGGGACACCCGAAATGGGTTCCTAACAACAGCACGGCTTTGGAATAAGACCTCCGCCCTTTCTCTAGAGAAAGAAACAGAAAGACTCCCGCTTTTTTTTTTTTTTTTTAATTTGAAAGAAAGCCATTGTTTTTTTTTTTTTTTTTTTTTTTTTTTTTTTTTTTTTTTTTTTTTTTTTACAAAGCCATGACTCCCAAGTACAAGTCCAAAACCACACAACACAAAAACCATCCAAACACAAACGGGACAAAACCAGAGCAACATCCAAACATGCAAAACCTCCGAACACGCAAAAAAAGAACAAGAAACAACAAACACGGGACATCCCAAAACATATCGGAGAAACCAAAAACAAACACTCGCCACCCGAGATCGCCCGAGCGGAAGCTGCGGCTTCTTTCTCACGCTGGCCACCACCAGACGCCGTCGGGCGCCAGCTGCAGCTGCCGATCTTTGGGCAGGTACCTTCGGGGCTTTCGCCGTGAAAACCGGGCGGTTGCGGGCGAGAAAGGCGGGTTTGCAGGCAATTGCCCCTTAGAAGAGTCTGCTAAAAGGAAGAAATCTAAGTCGTCCATGGGAGCAAACTTTGTTTGTTGGGTTGAGCGAACTGATCATTTTTCGGGGTTCCATGTTCATTTCGGGGGGCTGCCAGCTCACGCGAGCGGCAAGAAATTGAAAAGGGCAAATATGAAGAGATCGGGTCCCGGATCCCGAAATGAAGATCCCAACATGTGCAATGGGGTCACGAATGTCCGCGAGTGTCGAGAAAGCACTGAGCCCAGAAAGTGGCTTAGTCTAGATTCAGCGGCACTCCTGGGAAACCTTTTGACATGGTCATAACTCACCTAGCCACTTGAAACACAACTAGGTATACTCAACATGACAAGATTCATATTTTGTCCACCCCCCAAAAAGAAAAAACTCGGCCCAGAGAGTATGGGTCAGCCCCATGGCAACCAGCCGGCCTGTGCACAGCCCGCACCACGTTCTGCGCCTCGCCCAGGCCTCGAATTCGAGGTGTGGTTAGACTCAGCTTCCTTGCGCGGATCTCAAATTCCAATGCCCGAGCGAACATCAGCTCAAAAGGAAACGACAATTAGACATGGATGGCCTGGACCCCACTTTCAATCTCCCATTGGTGGTTTGGGTTGGTGGTTTGGGTGGTTTGGGTGGTTTGGTGGTTTGGGTGGTTTGTTTACCCTCTACAAGCACGAAAGGGTAACCCATGGGAAGAAGAGTCAAGCGAAACAACACCGACACATCCTTGGGAAACCTTAATTCTTGGAAAACCACCCAACTGACAACCTACAAGTTTCACAGGGATCCGGATGCAATAGAAACACCGATCGAACATTGCAACTTGTAAATGGCGGTGTTCATTTCTTTATTTTGGTGTTGAAAAGTGAAAACATGTCTCAACTGGTGGCAAAATGGAGATCTTTGAGAAGCCCTGTTTCTCAAGGACCTAACCAGGAACCGATCGGCCACAACTGGGCCAGGCCAAATCCAAAGGCATTGTATGGTCTAGCACATCGGGATTCTCTACGTAATTATCCGTGACAAACATCACCCAACCGGCCCAAAAGTGTTTGATAAAACAACAAAGGGGAAACAAATCCGCATGTCTTGAAATAGGACCCCGGGGAACTCTTGATGTCCAAAAAAAAGACACCACCAAAAAGCATACCCGCAAACCTAAGACACTTTATGGGAGACCAAAACCACCGCGCTGACCCTGTCGCTGACCCCGTCGCTTCCCGTCGGAGCCCCCGGGCGGTAGTCGTGGCCCGCCACCACGCCGCCGGCGCGGACCCTGGGCGCCCAGAGCCGCAGGTCCTGCAGCACCGCGCGGAGGTCGTGGGCGCCGTCGATGAAGACCTCAGGTGGGGGAGGCGGGGGGGGCGGGGCGGGGGAGCGGGGGGGGTTGGGGAGGGGATGGGGGAGGGGGGAGGGGATGGGGGTAGGGTGGGAGGGGTGGGGAGGGGATGGGGGAGGGGATGGGGGAGGGGATGGGGGAGGGGATGGGGGAGGGGATGGGGGAGGGGATGGGGGAGGGGATGGGGGAGGGGATGGGGGAGGGGATGGGGGAGGGGATGGGGGAGGGGATGGGGGGAGGGGGGGAGGGAGGGGCTGATTGGAAGTCTGGAAATGTTTGGTGACTCTTGGTCGTCCATTTTTGGAGTGTTGGTCTTGGAGTTGGCTGCTTTGAGTTGGTGCCTAGGACACGAGATGTGCCGTAAGTCACGACTTAGGAACCAGGGCTCTTCTCCCAAGAGGAAAGCTGGAGTTTAGAGAAAAAAAGCCCTTGAACAAAGGATATGTCTCGAGCAACACGGAAGATCTGAGATTGCTCAACCCCTGACAACAAACGAAAGCCTGGATTTCAATCTTCCGCATTCGAGCGCGTCTTCTTGAGTTGGTGTCCCTTTTTGGGGTGGTTTCAAGGGCAGACCAGCAAGCCAAAGGTTCTTTTTTTGGTTTGGAGGGGGAACCACCAATTTTTGGGGGGTCCCCATTTTAAGTCACCTTCCCCCCCAAACATGGAACTTGAGGACGGGTGCAACTCCTTGCGTTGGTCACCAACTCCTGATTCGTTCGCTGGTTCTTCGCATGCGGACTGTGTTAGTGTGGGAGTCTAAGTGTGTGGGTGTCAGCCTAAGTGTAGACGGGGTCGGTTTGAAGGGAAACCAAAGGGAAAATGGTTGAACCCACACGAGGGGATGGCCCCAAAAGTACCAGAGAAAAACTTGACCAAACCCTAAATTTTGGAACAAACCCTAAATCTTCAGACCCATCATGTCCATGTCGGGGTCTCCTAGGGTTTAGAGTGACGGACAAACCCCTAACCCAATAAAATTATCGGGACCAAAAGCAACATTTAGGTCAAAAAACACACACAAAAAAAAAAAGAAGCCGTACTAAGACTAGGGAAGCCCCAACGTCTGGGAATCTGAGAAGCGCCATGCAGCTCCTGCGACATTTCAACACCAAGCCATTCTGAGCCAACGCCAAAACCAGAACGACTAGGCCAAGCCCGGTAAGCATGACGAAACCAGAATTCCAAACCCCAACCTCAAAGGCTTGACAGGATATTCTGCCCAAAAAACATCAGGAATTGTTGTGGGCCGTTGTAGAAATTCCACAAGACTCCACACAGAACCAAGCCGCCGGGCAGTTTCCGTTTTTCTCGGCCCTTTCTCCCGGTGCAAGCCGCCCAAAAAAGGAAGACCACACTGGCCAGGAATCAATCCTACCAAAAAACCCACCAGCTTCCGGATCTTTTCTCTCTTTTCGGCCGTGGACCGCTTCTTCCAGCTGTGAGCCACCCCAAAAAAAGACGACGACGACCTCCACGCGCGCCCGCTGCACCGCGTGGCCATGTCCAGCCGCACCGCCGCCCAGCGCGCCCTGCAGGCCAGCGCCCCGCGGCCTCGGATCGGAGACGGAGATCGGAGAGCGGAACCCTCGCCCGCTTGGGGGGGGAAGTTTGGCTCCGGCTGGGTTTGAACCCTTCGGAGTTTTTTTGTTTATATATATATATATATGATGTTCTTTTTTTAAAAACAAATAAGAACAAAACGACTATTTTTGCACCCACTGGAGGTAAAGCCAGACTATTTGTGAAGTATAAGTGAATAATCTTGGTGAAAAATGGGCGAAACAACCGTGAAGTATAAGTTGGGTATTGCTAAATCTGGGCGAAACGAGTGGGGGAAAAACGTGAAGTATAAGCTGGGTCTTGTGATTGTGGTATATTTTTTCTCAAGGCCTTTGGTAGATGAATGGAGCCTCCTTCTCCTGAAAACCACACCGGGCTCCAAACCACCAATTGGAGGTAATCTTGGTGAAAGCTAATGGAAAAACACCTAGTGGAAAAACACACCTTATGTTGGTTGGGTTTCAGTTGAGTATTTTGCGCGGTATTTGATGCCATGTTGTGGATGGATGGTATGTTGGGTCCCCGAGGCACGTTGCGCGTGCCAGGGTTCTGAAGAGATCTCCAGCCTGAAACTAGCTAGTTTCCTTGGCCGCCCCTGCAACGCCCACTCAGCTTTTTTAAATCGCGGGCCGAAGCGTGTTTTCCAAAATGCGAAGCGGGTAAAAAACATGTCCTCCTGCAAGCGCAGCGGTGGTCCGTAAAAACCTGGGTTGCCTTTCTTTAGGGGACGCGACATGGTGGGTTTCCCCTGTTGGCTTCCCTTGAAAAAACCACCAAAAAGGGGGTTCCTTGACTTGCGCTGCCAAGTCCGTGGTCTCGAAACCCTCGAGGCTTGAACAACATCCGCCCCTCGATTCGCTCAACATCCGAGGCTTCTCTAAAAGTGGCCCTTAGTGATCTTTGTAAGGCTGTGGCTCAAAGTTTTAGAAAGGAGGGGCAGTTATGCGGGTTTTGGTACCCATTCCACTTACCTTTTGGTTCAAAATTTTGGAATTCCTTTTGTTTTTTGATTTCCACCGCCGTTTTTTCCCCCCTGGTTTTGGTGTAGGCGCGGCAGAGAGCCATCTCCATTGGAGTCTGATCCGGCTTCAGCTCAGGCGAAGTTCGCCCGAGCCAACCGGAGTTCGCCAGCCGAAAAAAGCAGGCTGAACACTTTACACCTGGTATGGCCTTGCAACAAACTGACCGTTTTTTGCAGCCGCCCCCCCTTCTCAAACAAAGAAAGAAAGAAAGAAAGAAAGAAAAGGTTTCGCAAAAAAAGCCTAAACACGTGCCAACAACAGTGAAGTTAATATGACTGTTCTGTCCAGGATGTGTAAAACGCCCGCTTTGATTTCAAGACGTGCGACAGCTTTCGCCCCAAGCTTTCTTGATAAGCTAGGTGACTCTAGCAAGTACATGCTCCTTTTGCGTCAGATAGCGACGCACATGAAGCTTCTAGCTGGTATACAAATGTCGCAATCACCCTCTGTCGTCGCGCTGAATTAGATTTCTATGGGATTTAGTGCGGCACAGTTTGCTCATGAGTGGAATTTTGGTGAAGTTCGAGGTGGAGGATGCTTAGTTCAAGCAAAACGACTAAGCAAGGCTCACCAAACTTCGGCACGAAGGAGTGCGGCGGCAATCGAACTCGGACGAAACACACTAATAAGCTTGAATACTATAGATCCCCAGCAAAAAGTTTAAGTTTTTGCTGGTTGAAAGGAAATATGAGGGGAATCCAAAAAGTTAAAGTCTAAAGATCCAACCCAATAGCGGTAGAGTAAGTAGCTGCATGCTTCCGCGAAAATGCGCATCTCCGTGCTTCTGTCTAACAATTAATAACGTCGCCCGACGCGCCACTGCGGGCGATTGCGCTGGCTTCGCGCGAAGCGAACGTGACGCGAGAAACACTGCGCTGACGCGCGAAAGGGCGTCTCGAAGGAAAGTGGAGGTTGTCCCCACTGTTGTACACTATCACTTCCATTGGCTTAAGCCTCCTGGAAAAAAAATAGATATTTCCAATAGTGATAGATTCCCATTAAAATCCAGCAGGGGCAACTAAAACCATTCTTAAGCAAATTGAAGATCCAAGTCACCTCAAGTAAAGGGGACACCCCAGGTTCTGACTTCCCCCAGAAACAGAAAAACAAACAAATCCACGGCAATCTGGACGCGCATAGCGCCTGGAGCCCCAGGTCTGGCAACAGAGTGGATAGTGGGCGCTTCCTTTCGGTTTCTTGAAGAAGCCACAAACAAAGGGAGCACTTTCCTTTAGAAAAAGCCGCGCGTGTCCGGTTGTGAATCTTGCACACCGTGACCGAAGGCCCCAAGGACCATGCGCGAACAAAGAAGGGCCGACAACGACATGGCAACTGCTTCAACTTTTGGCTTCCCTTCACAAACCTGAAAACGCAAACCAATTTTTGTCTCAAAATTGCCAAACGCAGAGTCACCCACCTCCGACTCCAAACCCACCAGCCCCTTGCCCGGCAGCGGCGAGAGCCCAGCTCCCCAGTCAAGGCCCTACTAGCTCCTCCAGATTTGAGAGGTTAGAATAAGGGTACCAACTTTTTTCAGGACGTTTGTTTTAGGAGGGGAACCCTCCCAACCGAAAAAGGGGAGAGAAGGGCACAGCACAAACTCCTTGGAAAAGTGTCAAAGTCCAACACTGCCCGTTTCTGGTTTGCCCATACCCTGAAAGGGGGCGCCGAAATGCATTTGGCCGTCTTTTGCAGATCTCACTTGTTGGTTTCACAGGGAGATGAAAAGGAACACACACCTATTTGATGTGAGGATTTCTTGACCCAAACTCATATTCCAATGATGTAATCCAGAGAGTGAGTTGTTCAGTGGACGAGCCCCTTTCTGGTAGAATCCAGTGATCCTGCTGGAAAAACCGGGTCCCTTCAAGTGAACTTTTTGAGGGGTCTCGAGCTATTTTCGGAAATGGCTTCCCATGCCATGGCAGTTTTGAGGAAAGAAGTTTTTGGGATCTCCAATCCTAGGCTGTCCTCAGGTCCCCTGCTAACAGTTTAACTTTGGGTGGGCTAAATGGAAAACCCCACACTAAAAAGCTAACAAGCTAAGGAACCGGATGGCTGGGAGCCACCAAGAATCAAGTAGACTCTCCGGTAGGGAACCTTCCGTCGGATGCCGCGGCGCGGGCCACGTGCGCACCCGACCGGCGGCACAGCACCGCCCGATGCCCAAACCGTCGGAGCCTCGAAGCACGGCGACGACGGGCGCCGGGCGCCGGGCGGCGTCGCATTGATGGGCTTTGGAAGGGAGACCAAACAGGGATCCGGATGCAATAGAAACACCTCAACATTGCAACTTGTAAATGGCGGTTTCCAACTTTATTTTGGTGTTGAAAAAGCAACATGTTTCAACTGGTTGCAAAATGTATCTTTTAAGGAGCCCTGCCAAAGGGAACCCATGGAGGGGTCCAAGCTTCAAGCAGACACACCCGTTTCACAGATGGGAACCAATGGGATCCAGATGGCTTTGTTTCTCTTCGCATTCCCCATGTCGGACGGTTTTTAAGCATCACCTTCTTGTTGCCCAATCGAAGTGAGCTTCCGTGAAGGATGTTTCGGGGTTCTCAAAAGGCTAATCTCCCAAGAATCCGAAGAGGCCGTCTTTGAAGGGCGAGTCTCACGGTTTTAGCTACGTGAACGCGTCTTGTGCGTCGCCAGCTCCGGTGTCATGCTGTCATGGTTTGTTGGTTATGGTCGAAGTGATGGGCTATGATTTGTCATGGTTTGTTTTGGTCTGTTGGTCATGGCTAGACCATGTTGTTCTGGTTTTTGTCATGATTAGCACTGAAGCGGCAAAAAAGGGCGGGGCAGGGGCTAAAAACACTTCCTGAGTGGATTGGCAACATGTGCAACCTTGTCTTCCCACTAAATTCATCTTCCCACTCAAAAATCGACGAAGGTCCAGAGACTTTTCTAGGGGTACCTTCCCCATTTCCAGAGATGCTTCTTTCCAGGAAACCTCCAGAAACCCAGGGAAAACGGCAGGTTTTTGAAAAGAACGATGATTGAAAAGAAGGGGGAATCAACCCCTGGAACTCTCGAAGGTGAGATGGCCACTCCCTGCCGCCCCCAACATCTCGGGGAGTTTCTCCAACAATTGCGCTTCGGCGCCTTGTGCTTGGAGGGGAACACCAATCAGGAGCCTTTTTTGATGGCGGCAGATCGGTTTCTAACGGGGCATGGGCACAAACCCCCGGTCTTGTCGGCCCGAAAATGGTGCCTCTGTTTCTTCCCTTTCTTCGAGAAAGGAAACCGCCATGGGTATAAAAAGTACCAAGAAAAAGGGAAGGCCGCCCCACGCGCCTCCGCTTGGTGCGCCAGTAGTTGGCGCCGTCCCCGAGGTCACCCGAACCAAACAGCGCCTGCCTGAGGTTCCAGCAGCCCACAGACGAACTGGACCCCGACAAAGGTACGCCAAGCGCCACTTTTGGTCAACGAGGGTCTGGGAAATAGGAACACATGTTTGTATCTAGGCAACCTCCAAACAAAGGCTTCTCGTTGAAGTGGCCCAGAAAGCTTCGATCCCAAAAGTTCCATTCTCCTTTCCTGGAAGACATGCACCCACAAACACCACCTCGCCACAAGAAAACTCCCTTGACATTGAAAGGCGACGCGTGTTTTTTTTCTTCGTATCTCTAAGCCCACACGCCACCTAAAAAGAGTTACCCACAAAAAAAGGACCGCATAGAGGCTTTGCTAGATTGCCACCGGCTCCCGGTGCCCCAAACGCTTTTGGGACGCTCGCCCGCCTGCCGGCGTAGTGGCCCAGGTATGGGTCGATTCCTCCGAATCGAAAGGGACAACGAAAACCTCCAGGACAGGAGAGCCTCTCTGGGAGGCTACATTTTCCAGCCACCAAGGAGCTTCCATGTTTCAGGTAAAAAGATGGCCATGCGTCCATGCGAACTGGAGACTTCGGACGTCCCAATGTTTTTGGGATCTAAAAATGAAACCATATGACCTCCTTTGCGTCCCTTTGCACAAACTAGTTTTGGATCCCAGGCGCAAGGCGTCGCCAACAACTGGGACTCAGCTCATTGTGCTTGCGATGTGCGCTATGCCCTGGATGCTGGTTCTGATCATTGGCATGCCAGTGGTACACGCTGCAATTGTTGGGAACTTGGTAACTTCGGCTGAGAGCGTCGTCCATTACCAAGCCATGCGGAAATATAATAACATATAGCAAGACACGACCCTGCAACGCATCCATGATCATCCTGTCGTAAACAAAGAATCATGTTGGACATGACCACCACTAGAACGTGCTATGGTTGAGCAGTGCAACCATGCAGTGGCCCCCCGGTTGGGTTCCAAGATTTTCATTTTCCTTCACCCCAAAAGGCAAACCAATTCAGAAAAAGACACTTTCATCTGTTGCCTGTCCCAGAAACACCAAGCTTGAAACTTGGGAACCAGACCCCGCCCGCCGGTCCTAGGTACTGGAGTCGCCAGTCGCTGCGCAGCAACGAGAAGGCCACGTGGCCTTTGTGCGCACCCAGCTCCACCTGAGCTGAGCCAATCAGAGCGTGGCTGTTTCAACGTTCTCAAGTTCTGGGTACGGGTTCTGGATAACAACGCGTGCTGCTCATCTGTGGCATGGACCCAGTGGCGTGAGCCCTGGCCAACCTTGAACAAAGGTTGCAAAAATGGACATCACCGGGCCAATGTCTTTGTGGGAAAGCGGACAAAATGCTTCGGTGTTCCTTTCCCTTTAAACACAAGGACGCAAGTGGTGGGTAACCTCTGGTTAGTCCCCGCAGAAAAACCAGCTACAAAAACAAACACACACACACACACACACACACACACACACACCGGGGATTCCTTTGGCCACCATTGCGAGAATGTTACCACCAATGTTTACTGGAGTGTCATCTAAATCGGACCCTTGCCATTGTTCTTCTCCCCCCAAACTTCTGAGGGTCTACCGAATAAGAATCAGGGCGGTCCATCTCAGGGACTACTGCCACTGTGTACGAAAGGGCAAGGGCACTTCGCCCATTTTGGCCTGCCGATGTGTAAGACGGAACCCAAAGGCTCCGTGAAGTATTGGGCCAAGAATGGTCGGATATCCCACCAGCCATGACAGGTGAGCATTTGTCGCTCGGAATTTCTCAAGTCACGCCACAACCTTTGCAAGCCGCGGTGGTCCTCTTGGGCTCTCGGCATCTTTTGCCGGTCTATGGGCCCCACGAGTTTCTGTCCTCTACCGCGCCGCTGGCAAAAGCGGGGCACTTCCCGACATCACTTCCGCAGCCTGAGTGCCCACACAGCACAAGCACATCGCAAGCCGACCTCGCAAAGGCAGCCCTGGCACACATGATGCCCACGCCAGCTTCGACACAGCCAAGCTTCTCGTGGGAAGCACTCCAAGATGTCTCCATTCTAATCACAGTTATTTGACGTTGGCGCGCCTTACGCCCAGTTGGCTTTTAACAAACGGAGTATTTGCGCATTGCCATCTGGCTGCAAGCAAGAAACATCCAGCAAGTTGTGGAAGTCACTTACATCGCGGGCAACCTTATTCTGCGGCTGGTCCCTTCACGGACACGCTCGTAATTTTGGAGGCCGAGAAAGTCTGGAGACGTGGGCCAGGCGAATTGGACGGTCTGAAATCGCCAAGCTCACAGAAACAAGCACTTCACTCACGCAGCAGCGTCTCCACTTGCCACGGTTCGAAGTTGGCGATTTTGGGGGGCTGCTGAAGGCATGCAGCCCCCCGGCTGCAGGCCCTAGCACAAAAACTCGAAGCCACAGCCAGCAGAGCAGTGTCAGTTTCTGCGTGGCCTGCGCCAAAGCTCAGCGTTGGATTCGGACCTGCGGTGGGAGCAAAGAGTACGGTGACAAGTCGCCCCCGGTGAGGCTGCAACCCGCGCATCAGCATTCGGAAAGTGCTCGGAAGACCTTAGGAGTCATGCTGCGCGAGCATCTGCAGTCGCTATCTTTTGCGATGCGTGTTATGCAAGTATACCTTGCCCTGCAGGCACCTTGATTTCACTGTCGCAGGACCTTCGCCGTCGTTACGCAGGTCGCATGTTTCCTTTCGCGGGAAGACATGATTCAAAAGCTCACTTAGGCAACATGTGCTTCACAATTCTTCAAACAAGCTCATTATCGTACAAGATTTCACGTTCGACGCCGGCCTTTCGCGATGCCTGCGCTTCCTGCTGGGATGGGCCCTTCCTTTCGTGTTTGCATGATTTCGCTCACGCACTTCGCAAGGGGTCTGCGAGTCAGCCGCAGTGGGGGCAAGCGCGAAATGCTGGAGAGTGGGGCGGTTTCGATGGGTCGGACATAGCCAAGCTCAAAGAAACAAGCGCTGGAGTCAGCATTTGCAGCTCCACTCTACTCTGGCCACGGTTCGAAGTTGGCGTCGAATGCCCCAGCCTATCGCGATGCCTATCGCGAGTTCGCTCACGCATTTTGCCACAGCCGCCGCGCGACGGTTCGCGCGCCAGCCGCAGACTGGGGACAACAGTGAAATTCTGGAGAGTTGGGCCTGAAGCAGGCGGCTTCGATGGAAACAAGCGCTTGACTCAGCATTGGCATCTGCGCAGGGCTGCCAAGCGGCCACGGTATCTGCGCATTGCCACCCGGCTGTCGCAGCCACAGCGTGGTTTGGACCTGCAGTCAGAACAAAGAGTCACTCACATCAACTTTCGGAAATCCCTCGGAAGACCTTGGGAGTCATGCTGCGCGGGAAACTTGCATTTGCACATTCTGCAGCCTCTAGCCTTTGCAGTACGAGCGTATTGCGCAAGCTTACCTTGCACCGCGCGCTTGAATGCAGCCCTGGCACACTTGGGGGGCGCAGGCGCCTTGAATTTACCGGGCGCAGGGCTTCTGCCGTCCTTTGGCAGGTCTCATGTTTCCTTTCGCAGAAGAACATGTTTGGAAAGGCCACCTGACAACATATGCTCGACAATTCGAACATGCTCATTTCCACCAGATGTCCGGCGATTTGTTTCGCGGGCCCTTCAAGGACACACGCCTGGCGTGATTTTGCGCACGCACAACGGCATTCGGGGCGTGCCAGCTGCCACTTCCCTCCGACCCAGCCCAGTCAAGTCTCGTCCAGGGCACTCCAAGCCAACAGTTCAGTTCACAATCTCCAGCCCAGTCTCACACCCAGCCAGTCCAGTCGAGCGTCCACTCCAGTCTCAAGGTCCAAGCCTCAACGACTCCACCAGCCGCCCGGATTACCCGCAAGCTGGGATTTGGCTTGGGTGCGCAGCTCAAGTCACGCACACAGATTGCACCCGCCTTGCCAGCTGAAGTGCCTGTGCCTTTCTGGGCCCTCACTGGAGGTATGTGGCCTAGGTGATTCGCCCCTTGCTTACCATGGTGCGCTGGATTTGGCCAATGTCCAGCTACTTTCCTGTCTGGTACTTACATCCAGCCCGAGCAATCTTGCACCTTAGTACCTTAGGGCATCTGTGATTCGCTGTGGTGCGTAGCGCTGTCTTTGGGTCTGTGGCGAAGGGCGGTCCGGCTTCATGGCTTTCCATCGTGTTCTGCATGGCGAGTGTTTGTTTGTTCTTTTGGCTTCACGCCCGTTGAGGCCCCAGCATCTTTGTGGCAACTTGTTTTTTGCCTTTGACTTTGCTAGTAGGCGCCTTTGCGTGCGCCAGTCCCTATCAGGGACTGCCTCTGTTCTTTTGCTCCGGGGCCCAAGCACCCTTCTTCCGTGCAGACAGAAGCCAGTTCTAAAAGCCAGTTCTAAAATACGTTCAAGTACTGGCGCTTGCCACAGCCTGACTACCCTTTGCGAGCGCTCGGCAAGCGGCGTGATGGCACAGGTTGATACGTCAGCCTCAACATAGCCAACCTCAAAGCGCGAAGCACTTGGCTCGCCAGTGTCTCCACTCACATCCTGTACTTGTGTAAGGGCCTGGCTATTTCAAGGCAAATGGGTCCATTTTTGTGTTCTTGGGACCTGGGTCAGTCGGTCTGTGATGTATTGGGCTGCGTGTCAGGCGTTGGCCTGGGAATGAAGAGGGGGTCTAAAATGGTTCAGCAAGGTCTGGGACGGTCCTATGACCAAACTACCCAGCGCTGACCTTCATATCCTGGTTGTCATGGCACTCCCGCAGAGGCGTGACTCGACTCTCGCGCCGTCGAAGCGACGGCCCGACGTCTTCTCCTCGGCTCGCGGCAACCTGCTTCGCGCCATGCTGGGCTCTCGCGGCCGCTTTGGTCGCGCCGCTTGCTGCTCCGGATGCTGGCCTCATCGCCACTTGTTGTTTTTTGCAAGACTGCTGCGGATGACAAGACAGGGCAATAGCAAGCAACCAGAATGCAGACAACCCCGCAGGCATGCTAGACCCCTGGAAAGTTCAAGGTATCTCTGACCATGTTTGCGGGGCTGCCGAACACATGGAGTCTCTGCGCACTGCTGGCGCACATTTGCACTTCCCATACTGGACCTGGGAAAGACAATGCGTCCTGCGGTTCTTGTGGAGAGTTTGGAGAGTCTCTTGCGTGCCCCCCGATAGATCATAGGCAACTCGAATTTTTGACCAAACTTCGTTTGGAGTCGGACCCTTGATCGGTCCAGAACAGGCTTGGGGCACCTTTTTTTTTCCGGCTCAAGGCACAGCCACCTCCGTTGGCATGGCACATGCTCCGGCCCGAGTGCCTTCTGGCTGGGGCAACGTCATTGGGTCAACTTATTGTCGCAAGGCTGGGCTAACGATGTTGAAGGAAGGCCCAGCCACGCATGGAGAAGGCGGCCCATCAGGCTCACGTCGGTCACATACAACCAGTGGCTGTGACAAACCATCCCGCGTGTTCTACTTGCCCGTTGAGCCAACAGCGGCAAGGTGTCCAGAACAGGTAGAGACTTGGGCCAGATTGGGTCAAAAGCGCGCCCCGCTGTTTTGCCCCTTTTGCGGCAACTTGTTTGGCTAAAACAAAGAAACAACAAGGAGCTTGCAGCTGGTCGAGGGGCTTTCTGCCGGAGAACGCCATCTTCACAACAAAAAGTTCTCTCTCTCGAATCCTTCGCTGACCATCGCGCTCCTTTGTTTGCAACTTGCGCCGCAGAGCCGTGTTTGCTGTTGCTGTGATGGTTGCAAAGTCGCTGATTGGCAACTGCTCCCGAACACCAACTTGCAACCAACCAGACTAAGTCTAAGACAAGACCAAACGGTTTACCCACACTGGCGACATGTCAAACTGCAAGCGCAAGCCGAGTCAAACAGGCAAAGCTCAATGGAAACACGCAGCGCAAAACGGGCCAGATATCACAAGCGCAATCACACAAGTCACAAAAGCGCGTCGCAAAAGCCACGGTGCAGCACCAATGCTCGCTCTCTTGGCTGTTTCGCCACGCAAACTCGTCAAAACCGGACGCCTACAACCGTTGGACCAGTCCAACGGCCTCCCTGTGAACACGGACGCATACTTTGATAGGTAAACCAACATCTGGACTCCCAAGAAGGCAACCAGCAAATGGAAGGCATTGACACTCCTGGAGTCCTTCCCTTCGCCAAACATTTGCGGA